GGCGCCGACCGCCATGAGAAGCGGGTGTCTTCCTCGCCGAGCAAGAGGAGGCGCCGGGCCACCGCCCTTTCGCCTCGCCCCGCCTGCCGAGGAAGGGGGGGGGGGGCGGAAAAGAGGCGAGGCAAAGAAATCCGCTCCTTTCGGGGGTGGACAGAGCCCCCACCCTGACACGTGGATTAGTGAATTGTCCGTCTTCGGTTTTCGAGAGGGCTCCGCGGCCGTCATTTTCCAGGCTTGCGCCCGCCAGGTTTGGGCCCGAGGTCGTTTTCACTAAACCACGTCTTACTGAACGGGGTTCTGTCCATCTCCGATCTTTGGTAAGCTGGTTCTGGACAGAACGCCCCCTGGCAGGTTCCGAGGCGCTCCTCGGCAAGGGGCCTCCCGGCTGTCCTGGGCCGTCCAGGGGCCCTCTGAGGCCGTTCTGAGGCCGTCTTGGAGCCCTCTTGGTTTATTTCTGGGGGGCATTTTCGCTCGTCGTCGTCATTCGTTGCGGTCGTCAACGCAAGGAGGAGGAGGAGGAGGAGCGTGGGATGAGGAGGATCGATGAGGAGCGAGGGGGAGGACGAGGGAGGAGATGACGATAACGATGACGATAACGATGATGTTGGTGATGCTGATGACAGCGATGGTGATCATGAAGATGCTGCTGATGCTGCTCATGATGATGATGATGATGATGATGATGATGATGATGATGATGGTGAAGCTGATGATGTTGATGATGATGATGGTGGTGGTGTTGGTGCTGGTGATGATGACGATGACGATAATGCTGATACTTGTGCCGACGACTACCACAACGATGGCGACAACGAAGACGATGATGGTGATGATGTTGGTGATGATGATGCTTATTGTGATTTGGGAAGGAGGAGGAGGAAGGCTTGAACGGCTGCCACATGTGACGCAATTGTGTCACCAGTTCTTGAGAAGCTCTCGAGGCCGTCGCCGTCGACGGTCTCGGGGGCATGGGCGGAGGAGGACGAGCAGGAGGGGGAGGAGTAGCCTCTTGCGAGAGCCACAACTACTGAATGGCCTTCGGCCCACTCCGCAACCGTGTCCAAGCTGTGCGTGCTGAGGCTTGTTGGATGGATACCCGGATCTGTTGGGACGCTTCTCGAGGGCCTATTGCAGGCTCTTGGGGCTGCAATCGTTGTGCATATACGTTTTGTGTGCGTTGTGTCTGCGTGGTTTAATGTACACGTGTTGTACACGCTTCGTTTACGTTGCATGCGCATTTCTGTCGCGTGTGTTTATGCGTGTCGTAGTCGTGGTGTGGTGTGGTGTGTAAACATATCTTTTGGTATATATATATATAATACACATACATAGACAACTACGTATATACATAGATTCCGTCTACGTTTGAACACGTGTTGTATACGCGTTGTACGCGTGCGATATGCGGTTCGCATGATTGTTGCGATCGTGTCATGTGTGTTTTTGTTCCCCCTACCGTGTTGGGTCCGTTTTTGAAGAGACAGCGCCCCGCGTCTCCTTACTCACTCCTCCTCCTCCCCCTCCTCCCCCTCCTCCCTCCTCCCGTCACCCCCCTCACTTTGGCACACCCCTCACACGCTTCGTGGCCCCATAGGGAGCTCCACCGACGGCCCTAGTGGGGGTGCCCACATACAGTCCCCACACCCTTGACAGCACACCCCTCTTACTCCTCGTGGTCTCATAGGGAGCTCCACCGAAGGCCCTAGTGGAGGTGTCCGCATGCGGTCCCCACACCCATTTTGGCACACCCCTCACACGCTTCGTCGCTCCATAGGAATCTCCACCGACCGAAGGCCCCAGCGCCACCGTCCACATTCGTCCCCCACACCCATTTCGGCACACCCCTACAGGGTTCGTGGCCCCATAGGGGGCTCCACCGAAGGCCCCAGTGCTGCCGTCCACATGCGCCCCCCACACCCATTTCAGCACACCCCTCACACGCTTCGTGGCCCGATAGGGGGGCTCCATCGAAGGCCCCAGTACCACCAACCGCATGCGCCCCCCGCGCCAATTTCGAACCCCCCTTTCACACGTCTCGTGGCCCCATAGGGAGCTCCACCGAAGGCCCCACCGTCCACACACGTCCCCCACACCCATTTCGGCACACCACTCACACGTTTCGTGGCCCCATAGGGAGCTCCACCAGAGGCACCAACGCCACCGTCCGCATGCGTCACCCACACCCATTTCGGCACACCACTCACACGTTTCGCGGCCCCATACAGAGCTCCACCGAAGGCCCCAGTGGCACAGTCCACATGCGTCCCCCGCATTAATTCCGGCACTCCCCGCACACGTTTCGTGGCCCCATAAGGGAGCTCCACCGAATGCCCCAGTGCCACCGTCCACTTCCGTCCCCTGCACCATTCCCGCGCACCCCTCACACGTTTCGTGGCCCCATAGGGAGCTCCACCGAAGGCCCCAGTGCCACCGTCCACATGCGTCCGCCCCCCACACCCATGACAGCACACCCATCACACGTTCCGTGGCCCCATATGGG